ACTATTTCGCGTTTTACACTGTATTTCCATGTATGTTTGCACATGTTTACATACAAATGCAAAGTTACATATAAATACATATAAAATCTAAATAATCAAAACGTTTGCATACTGCTGCAGATGCAAAAAATAAAAAACTGGCCTTTAGAAAAAAAAAAAGCATGAAAACAGAAATAATATTGCATTTTTATATCACGGAATATATAAAAGAAGTATATTTAGCTGTCATTCTTGTCAAAACATAACGGTTTTCCAATTTCATAGTACTATTGTACTAGGTATGACTGCGCAATGACAATAAAGAGTTATCTTAATTCCAGAAAAAATAAAACTAACAGCTAAATTAATGAAAACTAATGCTGAACATGTTTAATGAATAAAAGGGACACGAAAAAAAGCAAACCAAAACTAAATCGAAAAGAATTTTTTTTAAAAAACTTCAAAGAACATCACAAAAGCATATTTACTCTGCTGTCCACTAAAGTGTGTGTGTACTCTGTTTTCTAATGATACCTCTTTAGTTTTAACCTGTGGCTGCGTGGTTACTGGTTAACTAGTTGACTGGTTTTCTAAACAAAAACACTCGTGACGAGTTTCTTTAATCATTAACAATTTAAAACAGCTTACTGCCTCTATCGGCTTTCCCGTTCCCCCAGTATCGGTCGATTCTCACAGGTACGCGAGCACCAAGTTAGAAAGCAACGTGTTTATTTCCTGGAAGTCTGTCCTGACTACTGTGTGCACTGGACCATTCCGCGTGTTTTGCCTCACACACGCTGATGATTAACTGCAAGAACAGCCTACGTGTTTCCTTCAGCGTTTCTTCTGCCCACCTGAAAATGAAAACAGTACAGATAGAGGACACGCCTCCCTCTGCTTCAACCACCAACACCGTGTGGTCAAGCTGCCTCAAAGTTAGCTTCTCCTCGCTGATACTGTCTTTTAATAAAAGCGCCTTTTCCCACGCATAAATGCCACGCTGTGGACGCCGTTTAATGCCACCGCAATTTACAGCAACAACACACCCGTCAGGAGTTAGCTTAGCTCAGCCCAACTATACATCTTGGCAACTACTTAGCAAAGTCTACCCACTTAACATAAAACGGTGACTAAAAACAGCTCGATCAGACACTTACAGGTCTGCGGTAGTTATTTATCTTCACCCTCCTCACCTGGTTATCACCTCCTCCGTGGGGCTGTTTATTTAGAGACGGTCACTCAACGTCAACCGGGACCGACACAAGAAAACTGCGTCCGAGCTGGCCGACCGATCAAACACATTGGACCATACGACAGCACGGTGTGTCGGGAGGTTAGCGAAAACTGCCGGGAAGCTGGTGAAATGAGGTTTTCAAAAGTGTGCTGGCTTTCCGAGCGCCTGACCTAGTTTCGCTTCTCAACTCTCAGCTTCGCTACTTTGCTTGTCAGCTAAAGATGGCGTTTGTGTTGTTGTGCGGAGCAGCCAGCGGGCTACAGCCGTTCCACGGTTACCGTGAACGGTCAGCAGGGGGAGCAGTTTCACCCTAAGATGTTTTCATACAGAGATATGGGGGTATTCAAATGAGAAGAAGAAGAAATTACATTTTTAAACAATAATATGAAATTGAATCCAAAGGGTGACATTTATGCTATGTCATTTAAATATCCTCATTAAAAATTAAAACATTTTACCTTCCAATAATAATGATACTAATAATAGTAATAAACCTAATTTATATACCACCTGAAAAATTGAGGTGTTGGAGACAAGAGCAATGAAACTCAGTAAAATCAAGGCAGAATGTATGTGTGTGAATGAGTGAGGCAGGTGTAATAGGGAAGCTGCAAGGAGTGAAGTTTAAATACCTGCGGTCAACCATCCAAAGTGCAGATAGAGCACAAGAGAGGTGGGGACAGGGTGGAGGGGGTGGAGACAAGCGTAACGGGTGATTTGTGACAGAAAGAAAGGAGTAAGAGTGAAAGCAAAGGATTAATTGCTATGACATGTGGTTCGGAGAGAGTAGTACAAGCAAAAAGAAGTCTGAGCTGGAGGTGGCAGAGTTGAAGATGCTTTTTGTTGGGAGTGACCAGGATGGATAATATATGAGAATATCAGACAGACAGTTCAGGTTGTTTGGACATGTGCAGAGCAGGGTTAGTATATATGGATATATAGGATATATGGGACAAAGCTTGTTGAAGATAAGACTACCAAGCAGGAGGAAAAGAGCAAGACCAGAAAGAAAATTCATGGGTGTAGTGATGGTGTAGTGGTGGACATGCAGAGGGTTGATGTTATACAGGAGGAGAACAATTGCCACTATATTTAAGAGAGAAGCCCACCGTGCTAGGAAGTAAATATAGACGGTTACTGTCTCTCAGTCAGGATAAAATATTGGTTGTGCACAGGTAGTGTCATGTTCAAACAGTCTTACCACAGGAATTTAACTAATCCTCTGCTTCAAACTGGGAACACAGTCCTGTCCTGGCATGTCACTGGCATTGGCATTATTCAGCTCAACAGCCATCCAATGGTGACTCTGTTGCCTCTGGCTCGTAAGTGTGTACTCTCCTTCACCATGCCCTGCACAGTGAAGACTGGTGAGTGATAAGATCATATTAATACAGATACTGCATAAACTTACAATGCTATGCAGATGATACCAAGCTTTATTTATCCATGAAGCCAGCTTAATCAAATAAATTAATTAAATTACAGCCATGCCTTAAAGACAAAAGCATGGATGACCTGTAATTCCCTAAGTAAGGCAGCACGAGCAAGTCGGGATCAGTGCGTCAGGATCTCCAGAGGTAGGACGGGTTTGCTGGAGAACAAGATGGAAACACAGTTTTCCTTTGGTTGGTTGTTTTCCAGTTCCAATTGCTTCGTGTTGCTCTGCACAGTGAATGTCTCGTCTGAAAACAGTCAGTGATCAGGATCATCAAAACTGCAGCCACAACAGGCTTCCAACTGCATCGCCGTCTCTTCACACAGCGAGGAGTCTCTTATCTGCCAATTTCATCTTGAACGTCTGAAATATTTGTTACCGCGTCTTCAACAAAACTACAAAAGAAAAAGAGAAGATATGAGAAACGTTATCAGTTTGAATCATAAATGCTCTCAAAGTCCATGTGTCTTTTTTATAATCAGCTTCTTTTAATCTTAGTTCTCATCTCCAGAATTGTCAGGATTGACATGAAGACATTATTATTGGCACCATTTGCACGTTTGAAAAAAAAATCCTGTGGTTTTTTGTTTTTTTTGGGGGGGGGGGTATTTGTGCGCATAGACACAAATACCCAACCCCACTCATTGCCTTACACTCTAACTGCCACCACAGCTAGCAGTTAGTGTAAGGCAATGAGTTTTTGCTGCTAAAATGTATGCTTTAACTTCACACTCGAGGTTAACTGACATCCAACAAAACAGCTGCTTTTAAAAAAATCCTTTTTATTACTCTTTAATCCACAGAAAAACTTTAATTCCCAAGAAGTGAGGAAAAAAACAGAAACAAACAGTAATCCTGCTTATCATGCTAAAATGCATGTTGGAATTACTTGTGAGCTGATGCAGTTTCATGTTTATTAAACCAGGTTGGTCCTTTTTCCATCCACACGGGCATTGATGGAGGAAGCAGCAAAGGGATACAAATGCAGTATATACAGAGGTATAGATATATATTTATGTAAAATACGACAGGATGCTTTCACACAGCTCTCCTGAATACTTTTATCATCATTCTTTGAAGTCATGGCGAGGAGTTTTAAGCGAGCTATGACTAAATTCGTCAGACAGAAGCAGCTGTGGAGTGAAACCCAATGCATCCACAAAGCTCAGCCTTCCGAGTTAGAAATATAGCCCATGAATGCACAAAGTTCTTTACATGTAGAAATAGGCAGCAGGTAGCTAACATCAACACCACCACAGCATTCAGAGACACGGGTTTTAGTAGATTGGACAACTTTGAATTCATGAAAGTTTTCCCCTAAAAAACATGGAGATCAACAATGATTTAAATTGAGTATATTCTCTGGGCAGCACACGGACACAGTCATGTTTACTTTGGGGTTTCCTTCATTCCTCTGTTTTCTCAAAGCCTCACCTTCTAAAGATATTTAGGAACATGCCCGATTCTTCTCTTCACAAACATGACATCCACCTGCTATGAATTATGAAGACTTGTTAAGCAACAGCATGTGATCTGAGGTGTGACAGTGCCCGATGATTAAACACTTTTTGTCACACTTGTGAAACGTTTAGAGGAGAAAGATGTTTTAGGGGAACAAGCGCAGTGCAGCATCATGCATTAGTTAGTTGGTCGTTTCATTATGAATGCAGGAAAAAAAAAATCATTGTTCCTCACTCAGCCTGCACACTGTGGCAGCGAGTCTGATACAGCTGTAAGTTTTTGTTTTCCCAAAAATCTTTGAATCATGCAGTTATAGTGACTGTCAGACTGAGGTTGTATAATTTGAAAGTGAGATTAAACACGTTTAAAACACACTTTATTCCAGAGCCACCCCACCTGTTATTTAAAGCATACCCATTAGTAAGTGGAGCCGTGGTAAAGGACCTTAAAGTGATTTCCACGAATGTGTGGTTCTTTTAATTTTCCAACATAAAGACATGAGTGACGCTCTTTATTTGTTTGCCTGTGAACCCGTTTATGCAAAAACAACCAGGCTGAATTTATTGAAACTCAAAACTGGAGCATGTGCCAAGAACATTGAACTGTAGAGGTTGTGGTGTCAGCTGGCGTTCTGGTTTCAGACACATTACTGCCATCTACTGGTGTCTTTAGAAACAGTCACAGGGAGATGAAGTTCTTGTGTTGAAATATGAAAAGGCTGCCAAAAGTAATTTACCCCTGCATATTAATAGAGACAAATTACAGTTATCACACTGCATTCTTGCCAGATTCTTTCTGAAATTGAAATGTTTTATTTATTTTTATCTGTTTGGAACAATTAATTTCTGGAGAGTCAAACCTAATTTAATTTCCGATGAAAACATCTTTATACACATCCCGCACACACACATTTTCCTCTGAAACGTGTTTTGCTGAAAGGATTCAAATGAATACACAAAACCTCAGTGAAATAATGATCTTTTTAAAAAGAACGTATTAGTGGGACGTATGTGATCTTTAAAACATTTAAACAGGTTAGGCAACTTGCAAAGACAAACATAAGTGTAATATTCCTTTGTTATATTTTCATAACAAAAGAATATTACACTTATGTTTGGAGCCTGTCTTTGCATGTCCACCTCATTCTCATAGACCAAAGACTATGATGCCATAACTAACTTGACTACTTTTCCTGTTACGATGTCACAGGTGTGTGAAGAACAGACACTGTTAATTGACTTCATGCAGGATCTTTCACCCACTTACCCATCAGTTTATTTTGTGCACGGTTCATTTTTTCCTCAAGCGTTTCACCTTAAATGTCATTGCATACTACTGATGCTCTTGGCCACACTGCCATTTTTATGAAGTCTCACAATCTTTGTTGTCACGTTCACTGCGGGCAGTTTTAACACTTGTTGCATTAAATGCAAATCCAAAACTGAGAAAGCTGAGAATTTTACAGGCTCTTTGAATCACAGAAATGAGACGGGTGCACTTTGCACTTTCAATGGAGAGAGTTGTAGTTCGTGGCCTGTTGTTCTACATGATTGATCTTGTACACAAATTTTAAACAAATAGCCTATACTTCAACTTAAATGTTTTGCTCAGTATTGCGTACATGCATACATTAGGATATCTAACAGTATGAGTGGCCTGTTCAAACAAACAAAATGTATGCATGCATGCTTGGGGCAATGGAAATTTTATTTATTTGTTGCTTGAAACCAGACAAAATGTATGCAGGTTCATTTCAGTTACGCTGTAAGATTAACTGTCACATCATTAAGGATTCATCTCATTTGTGCAACTTGTAGAAGGTCAATGTGATGTGTATAGTCTAATAAATGTCCAATTACACTTATTCATAAGTGAAGCACTGTTATTTTGACATTTTATGTTGTTGCTGCTCCACAAAAGGTTGGTGTTTATTTGTTTAAACCTTGCTATGACAATCATTTAGTGGGTTTGGATCAAATTGCTGCTTGTCAGTTACCAACTAATACAACATCATTGTGGGTGGAGGAAAAGCAGCTTTGAGACCAGAACAAAGAGTCAAAGACATACAAAAAAAGAAAAAGAAAAACAGACTTTTTCCATCAGTACTGATGAGCCTTTGTAGTATTCACATTACAACCCAACTCTGTAATGTGCGAGTTAAGACAGGTTAGAACAGTATTAATACAATACCCATATGGAGCCGATTAGACCCAAAAGTGTAAGACTGTTCATGCTTCAGAAATATATGCAATGAGATTCAAATATTATGTTCTGTAGTTCAAGCAGTTTCTTGAATTTAGGATTTTAAAAAAAAGAAGAAAAAACAAAGACAGGACGGCCACAGAATGGAACAGAAATCAAACTGTAAGTCTGAAAGTGCAGTACAACTGCGGCGCTCGAGTCCCCCACACAGTCGCCCAGCCTTCTTTGTGTGTCTTGTTAACTCCACAGCTGCAGAGCCCACTAGGGGAACTGGGGCTCTGTGCTTTTGTCATCCCCACAGTCCTCAGCCATTGAAAATCTCAGCGCATCCTGCTATAGTTTGCTGCCTCTCATCCCAAGCCATGAGGTTTCTTAAAAAGGGTTAAGTCTCACGTGTGTTTACTGCTATTAGTCAACTGTCTCTTTGTGGGAGAGTCTCTTACTCTCTGGGCAACACAGTGGGTGTGGACAGGCACTCCACCGGGCAGACACACCACGCTGGGCTCGCTGAAGGTGTTGTGGCACAGGTGGCATCCCTTCTTTTCAGACACAAAGACGGGTCTCTTACACTCTTTCAACTGGACGAGAAAAAAAATAAATAACAGGGAAAGGAGTTTTAAGGTGTTTTGTTAAAAACTTTTAATGGTTGTTTACCCGTTTATTTGATCGTGAAACCAGAAAATTAAAAATGAAAGTGTTTCGTTAAGCGTAAGAGTAGAGCAGTTATTTATATACTTATCTAGCTTAATACTATAATGCGTTTCTTACCCTATCATGCAGCAGTTGAAGGTTTTCAGAGTGTGCGAGCCCTAAAGCGATCCTGGACGTGCGGCAGGCGTGCATGCTGGCCCTGATGGCTCGACCCAGAAAGGGACGCAGCAGCTGAAGTGACCAGCCTTCTGGCAGCATTCGCAGGACACGGACCGCGTCAAACACCTCCCCGTGCTGATTTAGGAGGTCCACTGCCGCCATCTCCAGCGCTCCGCTGTCTCCCAATTGCCCAGGAGGGCTCCCATCCAAATACACCCCCAGCAGCAGGTGAAAGAGCTGCTGTCGGTACGCCGAATCTCTACTAGAAGAGGCCCATATGCAGAAGGCCTCGGCAGACGGGAAGTCTCTGAGCTGGTGCACCAGAATGTGCAGCGCTTTGTCATGCTCCTCTAGTTTTCCATGTAGTGTTGCACGCTCTAGCAGCAGTTCTTCACAGTTCTCCATTTTAGCTGAACAGAGCACAAGAACACCAAACATCATGAAAATCTCCAAAATGATCACCAGACGCACAATTAAATGAAAAGCAAGACCTCGTTAGAGCGCATCAATTAAATCTTGCTCATAATCTTTAAAGAGACGTTACAAAGTAATTCCACAAGAAAAAAGAAACGCCTGTTAGAGACAAACAAACAGATATTTTTCTCACCTAAAAGAAACTGTACACGGTATAGGTCGGACTCCCTGAGCAGGGCTTGAAGCCTTTCCCTAGCTTTGGTCAGCTGTTCCTCATCTTTTGGAGACTGTGACATCAAAGAGAACACCCTCTCCAAGTACAACACAGCTAGATGTGTGTGGAACTTCTCCTTCTGCATCCACAAACATGAAAACAGTTCAAATTAAATAAGCTTTTAAAGATGCACATCTGTAGATGGAAACCTAAAAATAAATCCACGATGAGAGTTGTCCAAAATAACCATTTACAATGATTCAATACTATAGGTAAACAAGTTTCTAGAATCTAATGTTAGCTAGAAAAATGAAAAAGGGGCATCGTGGGGCCTACTTTCAGGATCACTTTAAGGATCTTATTCCCAAACTACAAGAGTGAAGCATGTCTGCAGCCCACAGGTCAGACTGTGGTTTCACTGAGCAGCAGCAAGTGTTCAGTTGTGTGCATGTGCAGCAGTTCGCTGATGTGAAAACATTTATAGACTTCAGGCTTCAAGAACTCATGAAAATATTCATCCAACCATTTATAAAAGTACTTGTACTTAAGCTCCAAATTAAGGATGTGCACACCCTTTAGAAGTAACTTAATTCTGACAGCTCAAGACTAGAAGGGGAAGTCGGGGAGACAGAGCTAACCACCGAAGCTACCATGTCTCACGTGAGCTGCTTCACTAAAATGCTTTCACATTTAGTCAAGTGTTCAAATGCATTTTCATGTCGGAATTAGGGAACATTTATACTGGAGGCACAATTTCTGGTGATGCCTTTGCCACCTTGCAGGAAAGGTTTGGTTTTATTTAACCTTAATGTGACAGAAAGCAATGTTTACACTTCCAATTTTTCTGAATCCCCTGCTCACTTAACTGCAGAGGCTGTGCATTTGTGCTGCCAAAATATGAACAACCTACAGCTGAATATCACGCCTTCATGTCTCCTCATACTTAAACATTCTGTGGGAGTGCAGCCTGAGACCTGAACACTGTCTATCAGCTATCACAGCTTGTGTTTTTGTACCTGCACCCTTTTCTCCAGCACCAGGTTCTCCAAGTAGAGCAGAAGTGCCTGGTTGTGCTTTCCCAGGTAAGTGATGACATCATCAGGGTTCAATTCCGGCTGGTCTTTACTGGTATGCCTCTTAGTGAAGATGTGGACACCTATCTATGGGCAAGAAAAGAGATTAGGTTACTACTTTAGCTTTTGCAAAATGACTGGAAGTGACACAAACTGTCTGCAGAGCAAAGCTCTAAGCTCTTTAAGACAATGTACTGCAACAGAATAAGTACACTCAAACACTAGGACTAGGAAATATTGTGCAAGCATTGGCTAGTGACAGACAGCAAGACTCAAAAACTTCCAAGTGAGACCAGTATTAATAATTCTGCAGCAGCGTTACATTTTTGGTAACCTACGATGGGATCCTTCCGTAGGGCCCAGTCTGCATACTTCCATACAAGGTCCACATTAGAGGAGGTGCAGAGAAAGTCCACAATGTACTCAAAAAGATCAGATCTAGTAGGGTCTTGCAGCTCCCCATCTGCCACACGAATCCACAACTATCAGAAACATAAAGTGTTCAATTCATAAACATCGTATTAGTGCAGATTCTTCAGTCAAAAAAATCACTAAGAGAAAAAAAATAAAAATTTGAAAACATACCTGAAGTGCTGCTGAATCCTGGCCATTATAATGATAGAGCAGTCCCAGCGCAAAATATCTTAAAGACAGAAAAGAGCTGAATGAAGTCAAAGCCGCCCTGGAGGATTACATTTTCTGTATAAAGCAATTAAATTGCCTTCCTAAACTGGACATAGTATTAAAGCTTTACCAGGGTGTTAATTAACAGTGTGGGAGGAAGGAAGAGCATTTACCCAATGAAGACCCATCTCAGTCCATCCCTCTAGTGAATTTTGTAGCTGTAATAATTAAAGTTCTGTTTCCCAGTCATTCCCAAGTGTTATTGTTGCTGCCAATTACTGAATTTTAAGTCTGATTTCATATGAAAGAAGTCGGACTAATTTACTTTAATCACCATTTATACAACAGTCAAACCATGCGCTCACACGAGCAGGCACACACACACACACACTAGAAACCAAAGCTTTTAGGTCATTGTGCATGTTTATCAATATAAACATTGCTTTCTATAATTAACAACATTTTGGAGATCATAAAGTCTCTCTGTGTTGGACCAGTTTCTGAGTTTTTAATCATGTTAACATAAAAGATTAGATCGTAAGAGTATACAAACTTGTGATATTTCTCCAGCCATGGGACACTGTCTGCTAGCACGCAGGCATTGTCTGAAGCCAGGAGGTCTAAAAGGCTGTCGTGGTCCTGTTCGGCATACAGCTTTAACAGTGCAGTGTCCACATCTTCTCTACAGCCGTTCACCACCTCTGTGCTTCGTACCTGCGCGTACAGATAATGAAAACCATTAACACAAGACAAGTGACAAAACTGTGTGCAGGTCTGAATCCAGTTACCTCTCCTAAATAACTTATGAGGAACTTCTTGCATCGCAACACTTTCTCCTGGTCACCCTGTGCCAGATGATTGAGATCTGCAAACTCGTGGAGAGGAGGGTGGCACCGCGTGAATGAAGAGGAAGCTGGTAGCAGTAACGGGCAGAGAGATATCAGCTCCCGCACATCCAGCTGACCCTTCCTGAAGGATCAAATAAATAAGAGTAAGGTCATAAAAAACTCAACATCTCTAACTGGCATTTGTCAGAACTTTCAAAGTGGAGTGAAAAGATGAGCTCACTGCAGACACAGACAACACAAGAGTCTGATAAAATGTACAAAATGTGGCAGATTTTGAGGATTAGAGATAAACTAAGGTACGGTGAGTCATGTACTTCTTGCTAAACTAATCACAGCTCTTTAACATTCAAGGAACAGAGTAACCCGGCTGTATGTTCGTAAGTGATATTACAATATTAAAGTCTTTCAATTAAAGCTGAAATTCTACACTTAAAATCACACCTCCATTCCATGATCTAAAATCCACTGCAGATGTATTCAGAGACAAAAATAGAAAGCAAGTGTCCCCTCCAAAAGAATATATCCATCTTATGGACCTGATCGCATTTAAAAAAGAAAAAACAAAAACTGGAGCCATTAAGAATGATTCTTTTATAAAATATATTCCAGACATTCTCATAAATGTCAATAAAACTGCCTGATGACTTGAGGGTTGACCAGCACTGACCCAGACTCTTACCGGAAGTGTTCTTTCGCTTCCAGAAACTGAAGCTGGCCAAACTGTATGAATCCGGCCTGCTGGAGGATTCGTTTGTGCAAATTCTGCAGAAGTAGAAAGTGACAATTTAGAAGTGAATCGAGTTTGTAGTTGTGAAAAATATTCTCTTTAATGAAACTCAGCAAGGTTAGTTTAGGAAGCAGAATTAACATATTAAGATTTTCTAGTAGTGACAACAGGTGCACTGTGTGGCCAACATATCATCTTCTTAAACATGTTGTTACCTGGAACTTGTCTTTGGGGATATTTCTCTGCGCTCCCTCTGTGAGAATGAGCGCCTCCTCCACTCTGTGATTGGCCAGCAAGTCTTGAATCTGTCTTTCTAGCGGCAGAGGTACTAAGACGTACACGGCCTTAGTAGAAGCCAGAATGACCTTCCCTACAAAAAACACACACAAACACAGAGCACTGAGGGGTCAGACTGATTTTTCCTCACAACAGCTCCATAAATTGAAAGCTTTGCATGCACCTGATGATTGCAGCCAAACCAGGGATAATATATAGCGCACTGAAAGCTTCAGAGAGCTTTAGCTCAGAGCTTCAAGTTCACTTTCAAGCACATATGAGTGTTGTTTTGCACTTGAAGCTCAAAGATGACTTCATATTACTTCAATGCTTTTATTCTAAAGCCAAGCAGAATAAAAGTTTCATTTTAACACAGAACTGAAATCCTCTGTAGCAAGAAATGGTCGATAGTGCTTCAGATCCCATTAAGAGTTGAGACCTGAGTGCGCAGCGCCATCCAGACGCTTTCTGATGAACAGTTTTGGTTACACAGTCCAGTCAGCCAAAGCAATAACTATTTCCATCCCCATATCACTTATTAATCCTTTCCTGTTTTTCAAACGCACTTTTCAGGAGCTCTTTGCATCAAAAAAGTACCTGTTAGTTAAACCTAATCCTTGAGGAAATTAAAATGCTATTTACTTAAATAGTAATTCCCATTTGTGATACCTTTTGGTAGACATTAGAAACAAGCAATATGCAAACATACCTTCAAAGTTTTGCAAAATATGGCCATCCCTGAATGAAAGGGTCTGTTTAAGTTGTTGGTCCAACATGCTGTGGATGGTGATGAAGCTCTCGTCCAACGCCACCACGTATGGAAAACACACAGCAGCACCAATCACGCTCTCTGACCACCTGACCGGAGCTCGCTGAGATACACCCTCTGCATTGGCAAACATTCCTGGAGATGGCATGTGGAAAAGCAGTTTTAATGATCAACATGGACATGTTAAGTATAGGTGGGCGGACCGATTCAGGTATCGATACGAGCATTGGTATCGGTATTGGATCAATACTAACGCAATAGAATTGAATTTTGTCTGTAGCACATTTAAACAACAGAAAGTGACCCAAAGTGCTTTTAGAGTAGCACGTTTACATTCCAGGTCTCCAAAAAAACCCAGTTTTTAAAATACACGAAAAGCTGAAGTGTGAGCATTTGTTCTATTAACTAATTATGTCAAGTAACTCGCACTGATTTAGTAGTCATGAAAATCTTTTCAGAATTTGAAATGAACAGTGATGCATCTCATAAATCATAACATATTTCTCTCCCCTGTATTGATTAAACATATTGGTATGGGCAACAATGGTGCTGTGTTTACTTGGTGTTAGATCGATACCAATCTTTACAGTATACCCCTTTAAGCCTCCTAGTAGACACCACTTTTAAACTCCTACATCGCTTCATTCTCAAGTTATCACATTCGCAAACTTAAGTGTCCAAGTTGCCTGCCTGCCTTCCCAGCAGAGTGAAAACCATTCCCCCTCAGCTTTTTACAGCTGACCAATAATAAAAAACCCCAAGGTGATTCTTATTAATAAACAAGCAGATGCACACATGCTGTCAAAGTTACAGAACACAATTTGATCCTTCAGACACCACCAATTACACACAGTACTTTAATTTTAAAAAGGAAATGCACATGTTCCCTTAAACAGCCCCAAAAATAAGTTTGGAGAATCACAACATTTAAGAGATAATGAGCAAAACAATAAGCTCTTTATTTTGAGATGTTAGCCTACACAAAATACCTGAAATGTATTTTCACACAGATGTGTGACACATAAAAGAAAGGCTGAACCCGGAGCGCTGCAGTGAAGGGAGCTGGTGACTGTGTGATGCTGTGGGGAGCAAAGTGCTTTACATGGTTTAGAGAGAGAAATTAAAAGCAACACAAAGCTGATGAACTTCATCCTGTGATGAAACATTTCTATGCCAATGGGAGTGGACCCTTCAAACATGACAATGCCTCTGGTTGTCCTTATCAAACTATTTCATGAAGATGAGAATGTTTAATGTACAATCCTCTGTACTACAAAGCAGGATTTGGATTTATCCTGGTAGATTCACCTTTAATTCAAGAAGGTTCAATTAAAAGAAACAGATTACTATGGAAACTTGTGCTGCAGGACAAACCTGCTCTAGAGTAGATTATGTTCAAGATAAGACATCAGTAGGTGTGAAATCACTGTGTACTGAACAATCACAATGATAGGAGGATCACAAATATTACTAGTGGGGTTTTTTAAGCTTTAGTCTTTCTTTCATCCAAAAAAGGATCCGTAATCTTGATTCAGAAAAATTCTGTTTTACAATCATTAATCCAAAACACAGCAATTTGTGCTTTTTGACCTCATATCAAATTTGCATGAAGACTAAGTTTGTATCTGGATTTGAAATAATAAGTCTGTTAAACTACAGAGTCACAACTTTTGCAGCTTCAAACAGACTAAACATTTAATATAATACATCCTGCACAATGTATTTCTTCTCAGAAAAACACACTCGCATAGCTGATCTGTTCTCACTAAGGCCCCTTGTGTTGGAATTTATTTTAATTTGTCACCCATTGAGATATCATCTTAAAATTCCAAGTATTCACTGCAGGGACTGTTTTTGTTCTGACTTACCCAGACCACCAGGTGCTGCTAAGAGAAACTCCTCCCTGCCAATTCTCTTTACAATGGGTGTCCTCTCCTCGCTGTTGTAAGGGAAGAGGTCTTGGGAGGCTCCCGTGTTGTAGTTCAGGATCATATACTGTGTGGTAAGAGCCAGGCACAAGAAGTAACCGTCAAGACTGACAGCACAGGGCTGCTCGGGCGTTGTCAACTCTTTCACCAGCTGCACTCTGTCCTCGTACACCATGTAAATCTGGACTGTCCGCCGTTTGGAGGATAGCACGCCCATTTCGACACAGAACGGATCGGCGTTCACCGGGTTCTCGTTAACACAAAATGATGCCACGCCCCTGATCTTGGCTCCACCTCCACCTGCCGAGGGCACCGTTTCCAGCGTCACCATGTCAACGAGGAACACTATCCCTTCACAGAGCACTATGAGACGCTCCAGAGCAGAAGCAGCCCGCAGCTCAGCAACAGGTTTCTTGAGGCCAAGGTATTTGTGCAGCAACTTCTGAGCCAAGTAACCCGGCTTCCCTTTAGAGGAGGCGACCTCAGCCAGCAGAAAGTGGTGGATGAAGCAGTCATTGGTGCCCACGTACAAGTGCTTTCCACAGCATTCAATGCACTCAATGTTGATGCGAGCTTTGTCGCCCATGAGGAGATCTCGCTCCACAGCGGGGACTAGCTCAAAAGCCTTCACGCTCATCTTGGCCAAGGCATCTACAGGAGGTACAAAATAAGTTTGCGTCAGCAAAGCTGCAGACAAATTCAAATAATCAATGTGGAAAGCGGACTGTACAACATTTCCCTGTGAGGAATCATTAAGTCTCTGGATATACTCAGCATATAATTTATTCATAAAACTATACATGTATGTGAATTTTTACATGTGTGAGTCTGTGAATGTAAGGTGCTTTAAAGCTGTCGATTTGAAAGGTCGATTCCCACGCCCTCCCACATCCATAAGCCCTGGGTAGTGATTAAAAGAACGATATCGGATACAAGTGGTAGAAACAAGCTTCCTTTGATGGGTAGTTGCACTTTCCCTTAGAGGGTGAGGAGCTTGGTCGTTTAGGAGGAATGCTGGAAGTAGAGCCACTCCTCCGTATAAAAAGAAGCCAGTTAAGGTGCTGGACATCTAATTAGGATGCCTCCTAAAAATCTTCTAGATGAGGTTTTGTAGGCATGTCCTACAAGGAGGAGACCCCAGGGCAGAACCAGGATACACTGGAGGGTTTACATCTCAACACTTTAATGCCTCCCTGCCAGGTGAGCTGAAGGAGGTAAAGAAAAGGAAGGTTTGGGCTTCTATGCCTACCTGTTGTTCCTACAACCGAGAGAGCCTGATAAAGAGCAGAAGATACTGTTTAAGACGTTTTCTCTTTAAGATAAGGAGATTGACATTTCTTTAAAGTCTCTCCTTGACAGTACAGCTGAGGATTGCTGGTGTTTACATTTAAAGGCATGAGATTTCGGACCTGGGTTGCGTGAAAGGTTATGTGTTCTGACACAAAAAGATTAACAAAGCAGATATGCGGTTTTATATCAACAGCACAATTGTATTGAGTTTCCTGTTACACTACTATAGTAACACTTTATCGTATAGTTTACCCATTTATATTTGACCCATTAGAGATTGATCTCCTCACACCCTCATGCTCAAACAGTACGAGCTAATGGTGTTAGCACTAGCTAGCTCCCCAAACACAGAGGCAGCAGCGAAAAAGAAAATCACTGTTGACAGTGACTGTGTGAAGGTGAGAGAGTCATCATTAGGATATGAGTCATTTCAGGAAGCCGTGGCCAGTTTTAAATCTGATAGGTTGTTTCAGTACCACGTAGCTGAGCTCTTTCGGCTAAAGTTAGCTTCTAAACACTGTTCTCTTGCTATGCTAACGCTAGCAAGCTAATTTAAAGCTAGGCTACATTTCCAGTGTGGTTAAAGCTGCAAGGCTACAACCCTCACGGAGTGCCCGCACAAGGAAAATCAACCTATTTTTACAGTCAATCTCCCCTTCACTGACATGATGCTCTGTGCGCCCACACCCTGCCCAGTTCCTCCCGGAGCAGTTGGCGTAGACAGCAGACCTACCTATCAATGCAGGCGGCGCTCGGGACGGCAGGCCGGAGTCACTACACGCAGAAAAGCCTCAGTACTCCGAAAACCAGGACATGAACTCACACCTAAACGTCAACACTGCCATGCTGCTGGGGGTCGTTGCCGCACCGACAGCCGGATAATACAAGCTGAATGGCAGCCAGAGAGTTCCTGCTTGTCCAATATGAAACGCCGCCCATTTGCATTGAACCCCTGCTGGCTGCAGGTGATATAGTGGTGCGTTCACCGTTGTTACGAGTTTTTCAACAGTAGCCACTGCTAAGAAACCACCTGGAGCAGTGTTATTGTGAGGCAGGTGCATCAGTACTATTCCTTGTTTACCTCTTCACATATAAAATATTTAAACTAAACAGTCTAAGGAGCTTGGAAAGAAAAGCATCTGGACTTCCAAGCTCCTCAGACTACGATGACATGGGTGACTGAGAGCCTTCACAGACATTAAGACTAAACACAAATATTTCAGTATATTTCATTCATTAACAAGTAATATAGATCTTTATCTCTGGTGATGCTCATAGCTGACAAAGTGCGTTACAATGACAAGAGCCAAACAAATATCAGAGGTGATTAAGTGTTTCTAAACTGGTCCTAGTAGCATGTGTGCAAGAAAATGCGTGCCATAACAGTAAACGTGTACTCACTAGCATTAGTAAGGGGTGCTGTTGCATTTAAACTCATCCAGATTCACTACGTCTGCTCCTCACTGTTACACCTATCTCCTTCTCATTCATTCTGTCATGCTTCCACTGACTTTCATTCCCCTTCTCTCCAGAGAACGCCTCAATTTTACCTCCGTAGAGTTCTTATTATGACTAAAGCTTCTTAATTTAATGACTAATGCAAAAAAAAAGTTGTTGTCCTTTTGATGGCAAACTGATTTATTGTTACTGATATTTAAGATAACTACACAGTATCTCAAACCAAAAATATTTGACCAATTTGTTCTGACACTAAAATGCACCATATGTTCCTGAACGCAACCCGGCCGGTTTTCACCCAAGATGCACCTGTCCAACTGAACCGTCTGAGAAAAGCCATTTTGTTGTGCTAGCTAGCTTCATGTTAGAGAAAGCCAGCAGTAATTTGGGATTTTTATGTCAGCGCTAACGATGTCGCGTTTATGTGTTAGTGTACTGTCGCAAAATACAACAGTTAAACTCGTGGAGGCCTGTAAGTAGCCGATGGGGATATGGACTAGCTTGTGAAGCTATAGAGCTGATGAGAAGACGAGAAGTGTTTGCTAAAGTGTGCTGCAGGTTCAGATAACATACTGTTAGCTAGCAGTGTGTTTACTTAGCAGGAGGTAGTTATGTTTTCGGATTAGTTAACCTCGTATTAAGTCATTTTTTCCCCCGTGAATGTATTTTAAATAGGCTGCGAGTGCCTGTGCTGTCAACCAAAGACAAGTAACTTAATATAGAGGCTGCCCCGCTGACGGCGAGTAAACAGCCCGTCAGTAAGTTAGCAAAACACTTGAACCATACAGCGATAAGCCAAAGCGCTAATCTGATAATGGCAGAGGACACCCGACAGGACAAGAGGGCCAGCTTCTCTATAACGGAACACGGTGCCAACGGGATGGCCAGGACCTCCGCTGTGGCCTCAGGCAAAACCGGCACGTCAAAGAAACTAGTGATCAAAAATTTCAAAGGTACTGTCACTGAGCCTCTTCTAATGCGTTACCTAACAGCAGCAGTTACACAGAGATACCATAGCACGTAAGAGGATGTTACTTTCAGATAATGCCTGTAAAAAGATAAACAAACAAAACAAAAAAAAAAGTTGCTGCCCTTACTGCCGTGCTCAAGCACTCACATGTCACCTTTACCCAGGGCTTGCTCCTGATAGACTGATATGCATTTTCCATTATGCTGCATAGCTGTTTGTGCCAAATCCACCAGCCATGGAGTTTTGGGCCACTCCTAAATCCCAGCACCTGTTGTATAAAGTAAAAGCACGAGGTTTTATATCTGACATAACTAATCATTGAATGAATTGATCGTCTGAAAGATACCGCTGTTCTGTCAGTCTATTAATTCACACCACAAATGGGGAAAAAACTTAACCCTGGAGAACCCATGGGGTCAGAGCTGACCCTATTGTTTTTCTAGGGAACCCATGGGGTCAAATTTGATCCCATGGGTTCTCCAGGGTTAAATAAGAGGTTGTTTTAAATCAAGGTTGATGTTAATATTGAGAAGTTACAGCACTTCACTTTACAATTAACCATTTACTTTGGACATTTTAGAAATGAAAGAAATTTCGTGTGTGGAAAAAGATTGGCAAATAAATAAATGTCAATAAATGATTGAGTCAGAGAGACCAGTAAATTTGCTTTGTTCAATTTCCAGCAGGATAAATGTTTATTTGCCAACATAGCTGAGAGTCCAAAGTGTGTGGAGGTACTCCCTCTGTAGGTTATTGTCAGTCATCCCAGTGTTGATGGCTTCATAAGTACAGTAAAGCTATTGTATCAAAACTTGCTTTCCTTACCTTCAACATATGACAGAAAACTTTGAAAATGTCATTGAACATTTATTCTTCAGGTTTTATCATTTCCACTTGTAGAGCATTTGTAATAAACAAATGCTCTGCAAGTGGAAATGATACTAGGATGTGCTGCCCACATCCTAATATGGTCATATTTTAGTCCTATAAGTGAGTCTTGTTGTGTTTTTGTAAACAGATAGGCCAAAACTAGCAGAGAACTACACCGAGGACACGTGGCTGAAGCTGCGAGATGCGGTGGGTGCAATCCAGAACAGCACCTCCATCAAGTATAACCTGGAGGAGCTCTATCAGGTTTGCTGTTTGTCTTTTTAATTACCAAACTAGAGTTAGACTTATTTTCTTCACACCCTGAGTAATGTGTTGCACTGCTGGGCCTTAAAAACATGTTGGTACGGAACAATGGGGCATGTCAAGCTCAAATGCTTTGCAGTCTCGACATTTCTAACACCATAAAGCCACGGAATATTAAATGAGTCTGAAGTTGAAGAACAGCCGAGGATTAAAATAAACTTGTGAAGACTTGCCATTTGTTTTGAGCATGTTGCATCACGTACAGGACGTCTGCTGATGTGTTTGTTTGCTTTTAAACTGTTATGCATCTCAAAGCCTTTCACCACATTTTCACATAAATCCATGATGTTATACTAATAGTGTTAAAGTAAGTGTTATTATTCTCCAAATCACCTGTCTGTCCTGTCATATAAAAACAATTGTCTCCTGTTTTCTCTTTGTTTCTGCTGCACTTGAAGGCGGTGGAGAACCTGTGCTCGTATAAAGTCTCACCGACTCTGTACAAGCAGCTTCGGCAAGTCTGTGAAGATCACGTGCAGGCCCAGATCCACCAGTTTAGAGAATATCCTTTTTTATGTGCACAGGCATGTCAGGCAAGCTATGTGCTGAAATGTTGAAGCAAATTCAAATTCAAATTCAAATTTTATTTGTCACGTACACAGTCATACACAGTACGATATGTAGTGAAATGCTTGGACAACTGCTCGTGACCTAAAGAAAACAAAAAGGAAAAGGCTATGAATAAGATAGGAAATAAATATGAAAAATTAAAAAGGGTAAATTTAACTAGGAAGGAATAAAATATAAATTAAGGTTAAAAATGAAATAACTGTACAACACAAATTAGAATAGGCAAGTAGGATCTGCCTGATATCTTCTTTACTAGAAACCAAAATGATTCTCCGCTAACTGTGGAGTGAAATCCTGTCAGTATGTGTTATATCCACTGACTTGATAATAACAAGTTTCTCACTATAAGAGATAAATATCTAAATGACTTAAGTTTGATGAGGGGAAAATCTGTAACCGGACACTAGTTTCCAGATGTTGTTCATCTGTTTGCAGACAAGAGTTGGGTATTGCTTATATAGTGAGTAGCAATTTGTTTGAGATCGGCTGCACACAGATAAGATAAAGCAGTGCTCCACCTTCTTTATAAATCTGCAGTTGGGACCTCAAGGTGGATTTTGCTTGGAGCTTATTGGTAGCTTTACTCTTTCAATGATATCTGGGGTCTGCTGGCAGACGTCAAGCGATGCTAAATGTGTAAATGTGTAGTTTGGTTATTAACACTGGTTGGGCAGCTTTTTGAAGTTTGTTCTTTTAAGTATTAAGAGGAAGTTAGATAAACATGCTTTGTCATTATATCTCATTAGAGGTACTGTAATATAATTCAGAGCTGGGGTTTGATGCCTCAGTAAAAGATTTTCTTTAACTTGGACCTCACAGAGTCTTTGGACAACCTTTCCTTCCTGAAGCGAATGAATCGCTGCTGGCAGGACCACTGTAGGCAAACTGTGAGTGTGATGTTTGATAGATATCCATTTAAATCTGCTCTGCTCAAACCTTAATGGACTGTAGGAATGTTAATCTAATAATTCTCTGTAGATAATGATCCGGAGCATCTTTCTCTTCCTGGATCGTACCTATGTGCTGCAGAACTCTCTACTCCCTTCCATCTGGTAAAATTATAGTTAATTCCAGTCACTGTGTCTGTAAAGATGTTCTCAGAAAGCTGATGTTATGTATTCGCTGCAGGGACACCGGTTTGGAGCTGTTTCGCACCCACATCGTGAGCGACAGTGCTGTTCAAAAGCGAACAGTGGAAGGCATTTTGGAGCAGATTGAACTGGAGCGGAATGGAGAGACCGTGGACCGGAGTCTGCTTAGGAGTCTTCTTGGCATGCTGTCAGACCTGCAGGTACACAATCGCCTCTTCGTCACGTGGGCGCTTAGAGTGCATGCCAGTATTTCTCCATCATGACTCTCAACTCTTGTTAGGTTTACAAAGACTCCTTTGAGGAGAGATTTTTGACTGAGACCAATCGTCTGTATGCAGCAGAGGGACAGCGTCTGATGCAGGAGAGAGACGTGAGTGAGACCACCAGTGGGTGTGTGTGTCATGTGATTGTCAAAAGCAGTGCTGAGTGTGTGTTTGTGTGTGTTCAGGTACCCGAGTACCTGCACCACGTGGCTCGTCGGTTGGAGGAGGAAAATGATCGAATCGTGAGCTACCTCGATCAGAGCACTCAGTAATGTTTATTTACTTATTTATTTATTTATTTGGATTTTTATTATATTCATGCATATCGCTGAGACATCCAACCATCAGCTATACCTGCTTATCCTTTTCAAGGGTTGCGGGAGCTTAAGGAAGGTAAAATTGCCTACTCACCATTTAAAACAGCTCTCATGCAACGTT